GATGCTGCATTGATTCTGTCTCTCAGAATACTGACCCCTGCTGGACATTTAAAGACACTGCAGGCAGCAGATTGGCCAGAATAAACTGAACTGATCTGATGACCTAGAACAATGATATTTATATGGAAGCGTATTGCATTAACCGAAGAAAAAAAAAATCTGACAGCTTATCTCATAATTACGAGTTAAGATCTCATAATTATAAGATCAGGAAGGACAGTCATTGCTGAGCTACGCTACATGAAACATGAACAATGAGCGTTGAATTTAATCTGCTTTTATTTCCTTTTAGGTTTGAGATGCTGGGAAATACTGAGTTTCCTCAAAGTGGATGGAATTGGTTTTAGTTTTTCAGCATTGTGCAGTAAGTCCTTAAGATTGTTTAGGTGAAGATGTTCACTCTACTCTGACTCTCTGTTAACCTCACTGTTCCTGCAGGAGCAATCAAACCAGCATGAGATGCTTTATGGTTTTAAATGAATGCATCTGAAATGTTTGGTGGCGTCCCTAAGAACCTTCTCAGAATCCTGGATCCTCAAGTAGAACAGCTGATCATTTAAAACGACCAGGTCCCAACTTCATGCAGCCTGTCGGTTCCTATGAAAAACTGAAACCAAACAGAAAGTGGATTATTGGAGCTGTGGATGGATGTATGCGTGTGGTCATAAGGCTGCAGGCAGTAATCCAGGGTTAGAGCTGCAGACTTTATAGATGAAGTGGAAAACAGGAGCGATCGGCTCAGACCTGGGAACAGATCAGTGGAACAGATGCTGAGATTTTAATCATGAAGAGAGGCTTCATTACTGGATCCAATAATTATAACCAAATATTAGGAACTATGAGATAAACTGTCCGATTTTTTTTTTTCTTTTGTGAATGCAACACGTTTCTGTTCAGTTACTGGAGGTTATATTCTATTATTTCATATCTGTGTTTAAATTAAAAATATCAGATATTTTTAAATGCAGCCAATAAATAATGTAAACATATAAGGTGAATATTTAGGGGGAAATGAGGAAGCTGCTGGACCAGGATTTAAATCAATGAGTTCAGTAAAAACTGTAAATAAACTAAGAGCCAATTAGAAATGAACTTTAATTCAGATAAGTTCAGTGAAAAATGAGAGGAAAAGGATGAAACAACCAGAAAATTAAAATAAAAACGTTTCTATTCCTTTTATGCTCCAACATTCTGGATCATTTTAGCGATAAAAGATGAAACATTATTAGCAGATTCATAATGGTGACAGATTTTAAACCCTTTAGTGACTCAATCAGTTAGAAACAGCTGCTGGGTCGGTCACGTGTTTGGCTCCGTGGGCTCCACGCAGCGCCACGCAGCTCCCACGCAGCGCCGGTAACGGACCCACCACTATCGGACTATTTTAGGACATTTTACCTTCTAGAAGAATCCATCGCCGGTCACTCAGCTGCTGCTTCCTGTCATGGCGGATGGCCGCTCCGCTGCCAGCTGCTGCCCCCTGCAGGCCGGAGGTGGATCTGAATCTCCCACTGCTTCTCTTCCTAATATTACTGACAGAATCACTGAACAAACTGCTGATTTATTTAAAGGAAATGAAAGAAGAGTCTGTAACCATTGATTAATGGTTTCAGCAGCAGTTAGGAAACCTGCTGCACACTTTAGTTCAGCACCTGGGGGCCCCTGGCCCTCACTGAGCCACAGTGATGGGAGGCTGTTTCCATGGTCACTGAATGCCAGAGCGCACGCTGACGTCACATCTGCTCAGGTCAGCTGACAGCCAAGGCTGGGCCCGGGACTAAATCTAAAGACTGAATGATTGGGGGCCTGTCAGGTAATCATTTATATATTTATATTACCTGGAAGGTCAAGGCATCCTTGACCTTCCAGGTAATCCTGTTTCATTTAGTTTTTAATAGAAAATATCTTTAAAATAGTCTTTTTAATTCAACCTTTATGACTAAAACATGGTTTGATGATCAGGGAAAATATGGGAACGAAGTTAAAATGAAATGCTGTAACTGGTGGAGAACAGACTGCTGCTGATCCAGGATGTGAGGTGAGTAAAAGGTCTGAGGAAATTTGAAAAATGAAATATGCGCTGGGAATAACTTCTGCTGAAGCTGTAAAAAGGATCCAATCCCAGTAAGAAAACCCCAAACCAACAGTGAAGGAAATGACAAGTTTAAACCTCTGGAGCAGCGTCCAAAATTAAAGATTCATCGATTGTAGAAAAGAAAGATTTTATTCTTTTCAAGGTAGAAGTGAGTAGCGCACAGAAGACAAAGTGAAAAAAATCAAAATAATAGTGAAAGCTGCAGAAAAGTAGAAGTTAAAGATTTAAACTGGGAAATGGTTTAAAGCATGATGGGAAAACCAGTAGGACCATCAGAAACTGGAAGAGTGACGATAACTTAAAGATTAATTACAGATGATGACGGCGAATGTGATATTTATGTTCGCTTCAGTTAAATAGTTCAGAAAAATATTATTTTATTTTTTATTTGAAATCCTTATCAGTTGGTGGCGGTAATGCACTTTTAACTAGTTTGCCAACCGCCATAAAACCTCATAAGAAGAAGAAGACGACACTAACGCTGCGTTCACATCGGACGCAGCAGGAGCAGCAAAATGGCGTCTGCTGCTTCATTTTTGCTGCTTGTACCAGTTAGTTCTG